GATCTGCATGCAGGTCCTACTTACCAATGAAGCAGCATAGAAAAAAGATTTCGTCAACCCCAAACCTACACTTGTCGATATAATTGATAAGCTAATTTAAGCTCATAAACTCGAGTACTGCTCGTAAGTGTTTAATGCGGTTCTTTATATCATGTTTTCTGTTGTCTCCGCATTTATTATTTTGATCGAATTTATCGTCGAAAATATTTCGTGCATAGCCACGATGTGCCCCAACGGTTGTGCCATCGGACGATTGAGCTTTTCGGGTGATTTGACAATTTTACGTCATGTCCAGATTAGCACAAACATTCAACATTCACCACTTGCTGTTATCTTTTCCTTTACAATATTTGGTTCCAAATGTGGTGATTACATTTTGCCACCAAACTCCCTGACAGCTTTAAATTGAAAAATCTACAGTGACATCGCGTTGCCTATTACTAACCAGCTAGATTTGCCACATAAAATCCAGCTGACTATACCGCATGCCCAAGAGTCGCGCCGACTTTCTCTTCACTTTCCAAATATCCTGTCCTGCCGTCACGGGATAATTTTCTTATCTGTTTTGAATGGGATGACCACCGCTTTCACGAAACCGTAGGCTGGACGCGGGATGTCGCGTTGCGTGCCGCAACCGCTTGAATACCCCCCCCAAACAGACGGTTTCTGTTATGTAATGAGATCAGTCCCATTACATAGGTGTGTGGATAACATTAAATATATCTTTTCCGTATTTGTATATTCCTTAATTATGTTTTATCATAATTGTAGGCACTTATCAGTTTAGAAATGGTTTAAGTCTTATTGGCCATAATAAATGTCACTTCACCTTTCCTCCTTTCTAAGAAAGTCAACGGCCCGCGGGAAGCGAGCAACACTTGGTGAAGCGTGTCAGTTGACCTAAGCTTTCCGAAAAAAAGTGTGGGTACACAGACGAGCAATTCCCTTTACCATGGTAAAACTAGTATTCATTTCCACACCGAATACTTTGATGGAATGTCGATGGATGATGGAGACACCACAGGCGGTGGTCGTCCTATGATTAGCAGGTAGAACAATTGTTTCTAACACACTCGCAGTGGGTGTGTGTGGTGAAGCCGCGAGCCTCAATCGGTGATCATGCAGTCTCCGAAATGCTTTAATTGGACCAATCAGCGAAAAATCAACGCTTAGCAAAAGTTGCTGTGTATGAGCAAGAATTATTGGAATTTCTATTGAAGAATACACCGACGCCGGTTTCGTCACCTCCTCCACAAGTGTTGGTGACACTGTCGGTACACACGGAACATCCCGCGAAAATCAATGTAAAAAGCTTTCACGAGAACGAAGATAAAAATCTTGCGTTCTGGCAGCGAGTAATAAACATCGCTATCACGATGGCTCAATTTGTGACGACCTTAGTAAAGCGGCATTCTCTATATCGTATTTGGATGGCCGTGTAAAGGATTGGATGATGACGTGAGAATTCAACCGTGCTGGATACTTTGTTACAAGGCAAGAGTAAGAAAAAGGCTGTGGAATCGATGTTCCTTCCGCCGAATGTGACGTTTCGACAATGGTCAAAGTTTCTGTCATACTGTCAAGACAACAGTAGTTGCATGACAAAGTACATACGCTCCGTGGGCTTAGTGCCAGTATGGCAAGTGAGCCACTGCAAGAGGCAGCGATGGTCATTTAAGAAGGAACTCACTTATGGGCTTCCTAAACCCGAAGTCTTTCGCCAGAGCCCGACAACCTGGAAATGCAATTATGATTGCATTGCGTGCGGAATACTGTCAGTATTAAGCATGTGGTTAATTGGTCAACCCGATGGAAGCAGTGACTACAGCTACCAAATTTCCGGAACCAATGGACCTAAGCACGGTGACTGTCCGTAGATAACAAGTTCGCTGTTACAGTGTAAACAACTCGGTCACCTCCGCCGTGATTGTTCACGTGAGAGACGAACCTCAATAAGGTTCTCGTCGTATGGTCTCGATTTACGTGGTACCAATATCACGAGGCATTCGGGAAACGCCTGAACCCAGTGGATGTATGGGGTCTCTGGGGCAGTTATAAGCTCTTGTGAGCGTGGTATTAAAATCACCCATGAGGGTTTGGTCTTCGAAGGATCGACGTCTTTCATTTACGACACATGACGGAGTGTTCCCCTCGTGGTCAAAACGAGTGTGTAGGGTAACGATCATCTGTTTCGATGACCACAATGAGGTACTCTTCCTTGTTGATGGACCAAGCAATATCGTTTCGCTCCGTGTAGCGATTCCATCGATGCATATTTGTTCATTGACCACGTTTTTTTCAATCACGAGTTGCCAAAGGCCATCGTCTCTGATCGTGACAAACGGTCCACGAGTGACCTTCAGAAAAAATCTTTCCGAATTCTTGGCACTCGCTTGGACATGTCTACAGCGGTGCACCCGAAAAACGACGGGCAAACAGAACGTGCCAATCGAGAGGTCGATGATGTGTTGAGAAGCTTTCGTGCGGAATGTCCCGCAGAATGGACTTCGTTGTTACCGTTGGCAAAAATTGTTACGAGCTATTCGGTCCATTCATCCACTGGATTTTAGACTTTTTTGAATGGCTTGTGACACCAGCAATTACGGCTTCGTGCCATGAGTGGTGGCTCTGGTTTACTTCATGTGTAATATTTTACAATCCCACCCTCATACATTCATGAACCTTCTTTATGCATTGTAGGAATTAATGAAAGAAGATTACAGTATGGTGCTCTCAAATGTATACGTGATTACTTATATGAAGTCACAAACATTCTGTGCGATGCAAAAAAAACTTGGGGGTCTGTACTGGTGACGAGACCGAGGTGTCTTTTTCCTTATAAGGTGGCGTAAGCCAGTCCCTTCTACTAGATACTTCCCTCGAAAGTTAAAGCTCAAGCTTTTGAAGTTTAAGCCCCGTACACCCAAGCTCTTGTATCACTTGGAGCTGAGGCTCAACCTCAGTACACCTCTTATATAAAACTAAGAAGCCCAGTGTTCAATTTGTAAGACCTACAGAAACCATTGGGGTGTTTTGTATTAGCTAGAGTACCATTACTCATTTTTATTCAGCTGCAAAATTTGCCTTAAAGGGCTTAAGTCGTTCTTTTTCCCTTCAAGTCGGGACCGTCCTTCTCCCTCCACGTCGCACAAGCTTGTGTGAAAGACTGTTTGTGAACAGCGCCCTCTCACAGGAGGGGCTCAGCGTACCGTTGCCTCCCAAATTGATACAATCAATAGTGCGAATGTGAAGCGCGTGTTCAAGGATGCTCTTGACTTATTCATTATGAGTTGTGCAAGTGTGACCACGCGTGCAAGATGCAATGGCCAATAAAATTACAAAAGAAATACGCAGATAAACGATGTCGTCTATTATTATGGGTCATGTACTACTTAGTACTAAGATCCTATCAGACGATGCGGTTTCAAACTTGGGTAGCTCAAAGCTATTACCTGGCTTCATCGGTCCATTCCGAATTATGTCATACCATAAGAAAACGTACGCTATCGACCTGCCAAGCTGGCCGAGGATACATCCAACGTTCTGCGTAGGACCCCTAAATCCCTGCTATCGCGAGGACGAGAGTTCCAACCTGGATATAAAGCAGTCTAATTTGAAGGTGGCGTTAGAGCCACGTCTTCTGTACGAAGGTCAAAAGACGAAATCCTTTGGGTCGTTACGTCTGCATCATCTCAGAATCATCAGCATCATTGGAAAGTTGGAAACAAACGAACGATCGTGGAAGTCGGGGTTGCTGATTGCGTTGGAAAGTACTTCGAGAAGTATATCCACACAAATTCGACATATATTGTGGAACAGTCACAGAAGAAGCAGAGGAGACTCCCTCTTCGGGCACATCTCCCGCTTCTTAATCGACACGGAAATCGATACTACTATGTCGAGAACGTAATGGCGGAGCGGAATGCCCTGCAGTCGGAAGGAGCTCTTGGTGAAATTACTGGGTTATCCAGCAGACGAGAATACGCGGGATCCTCGAAGTCTTCTTTTTTGCGACTGTCGCGATATTGTTCTTGCACTGGACGCGCTACGATTTGGCGGTCCGTCCCCTCCTATTCTCTTCTTCTCCCTTTCGTTGTCGATTCGACTAATGACCGCACAAACTTCACGAGCATCTTTGATATCGTAGTAAACCCGATCCTGCGCTGTGAATCGGGCAATTCAAATATATCTATAACAAGTCAGCAGATGTGCTTACGCTTTGCAAACGGTGGTTAGTTGCTGATTCGGTAGCATAATCCCATGACCAGAATCGAGTGTCATAATTTGGATGGAATCTACATAGTATTGCTGGATGCACGGTACGTACATTAGACTTTTGTGGGTCTCCTCCAGCACGTGTAATCGGCTCGATGGCGCATAAATACGCGGTTTGAGCCATTACTCAAGCTTTTATTTGACTTAGTAATTCATTAAGCTCTAAGGTGCCGCCACCATGTCGGTCTTGAAAATTGTGACGACTATCGGTTTCTTGGTAGTGCAATTACGCTGGACGACTGAGCTTTTCGATGGGTCTTTAATTCAAGCTGGTCATTTGATGCCAGGTGTTGGCTCATAGTGCGAAAGCGCCGTTCGATGTGAAATCGGAGCATCATCCAAGTTCGATGATGGCATAGACGCCTTCGCATCCTCGGATTAAGATGCGATTTGCTGTACGCTCGTCGTCGAACCAAGTCGTCTTCAACGTGTTTCGTCTCTTGTGAGTTACAAATGTACGAATCTCAGAGTCGGAGGAACGGTTGAAGAAAAGTCTGGAGAAAGTCTGACAAAAATATGGGTAAACCGACTCTTAAGAGGAGAGGGTGATGTAATGGGAATCGTCCCATTATAAATGTTATACGAACCACATAATAGATGTGTTTCACGTTTACTTTATAATTTGCATAGTTGTATGTCCTTTGATTCTGTTTTGTCAGAATTGGAGACATTTATCAGGCAAAAGAAGATTTAAGGCTTATTGACGATAATAAATATCACCTTACCTTTCCTCCTCTCAACTTTCGCGTGTGATTCACATTCACTTTATATCTTACATAGTTGTATATAAATTGATTATGTTTTGTCAGAATTGGAGGCACTTATTCGTAAAGGGAAGGTTTAAGGCCAGGCCTATTGACGATGATAAATATCACTCCACCTTTCCTCCTCTCTATTTTTGTGTGTGTTTCACATTCATTTTATATCTTGCATAGTTGTATATTCTTTGATTTTGTTATGTCAGAATTGGAGGCACTTATCAGTTTAAGGAAGGTTTAAGGTCTATTGGCCATAATTAATACCACCTCGCCTTTTCTCCTCTCTACGTAAGTCAACGGCCGGTAGGAAGCGAGCAACACTTGGTGAGGTTAAACACTCGACGGTGTTTTGTCTGTGGAGACACCCGTCACCTTCGGATTGGTTTTTCTCTGCGCAAAGCGCGTAAAGGTTCATCGAATTGATGTCCGGCTTCTTACCAATCTTCTGGTGTGTCGCGAAGAAACGAGAAAATCCAAAAAGCGCGGGTGCCCGCTGGAGAAGTACTGAGTTCTGTTGAGCTTCAACGAGGATGAAGGCAGCAGGGCCCAGCCCCGAAGAGCTTTGTACTCTTGAACACGGAACGTGTATACACGCCGGGCTTGCTGGTCGTAAAAGCGACCGTGAAGGGCTTCGAGAAGCCACGAAAGATCCTTATCGATTCCGGGGCGTCGGGCAATCATGCTGAACGCTCCATGATCAAAGAAAGTCGGCTGTATGTTGACACGCCGACAGTGTGGTTGACTGACACCGTCCCTGTTCGCTTATGGACGGGGAATCGTGTCACTGTGCCGAGGGTCCCTGTGGACCTCGATGTAAAGATTTTTCACTTCGATACTGTGTAATACTGCTTAAGTTTGAGCTTGGATTCAATGTATGACCTCATTCTTGGTATGGCATGGTTGGAACACCATGAGCCGTAGCACACCTCTCCTGGTGAGGCTTTGGTGAGTCATGAACCCACCTCTGTTAGGAGACGAAATCGCTATTGGCGCAAGCGCTGAACCGAGACGGTCAATGTGCTGGATATCGGAGTATTCGAGTTGGTGAACAACGAAGGTGTATCGGACCGGAGTGCCAAGCATAGCTTGTGGACTGATCGTGGAGTGGCACGTTATCCACTGTGCGCTGCTCATGTATCAAAACAGTGGCTTCATGCCACGAGTGCCATGGTCGGACGAGGTCCAACGCATTGAGGGCGAGGATCCCAGTGATATACGTCGAGTAGCACGTAATCCACTGAGCACTGTTCACGTTTCAAAGCAGTGGCGGCATGCCAATAGTGGCATGGCTGGACGAGGTCCGAGGCATCTTGGGCGAGGCCCTTTTAATGCGCGAGTAGTGGCACGTTATTCACTGGACGAAAACTGCGTGAATAGCAGCTTCTTGTCGGAGGTTGTTTCTATCATCAAGGCCCTGTTGGAACAAGAAGTGGGGCTCATACTGGACGACGCTGAGTGCATGTTCCCACTGGTCTTGTTGAGACATAAAACCTCTAAAGAGAAGAGACGGCGAAGCGGTATGATATCTGCAAGACGCAAGACGTCGACCCTGACGCACGGTGTGTCAACTGTAGGTGATAGAGGAAAGCTATGCACCCTC